TGGTGGTGGTGGTGGTGGTGGCCATGTGCAGAAAAGTGTGCATGCGTGCAGCTCATACGGTTTGGACAGGGGATCCAATTAAAGATACTCTTGAAACTCTTGATTTTCCGTCACACAAGTGAAGCATGCGAATGACGCTTTTGAACTCGTGTAGATATGTAAGTAAATAAGTAAGTAAGTATGTATGTATGTGTGTATGTATGAATGTATGATGACCGAATGAATCTACTTATGTGTATAGTATATATATATATGTATGTATGTATTTACAACTCTGTATTTACATACATGCATGTGTACAGACCTTAGCATCAAACAAAACAACAAACAAGAAGGCCAACCTACCAACCCACATACCTAGCTATCTACCTGCCTGCCTACCTCCCTGCCTACATACATGCTCACAGGATGGTACATCCGTGCAGGTCCACATGCATACACGCATACATACCGCCATACATACCCAGATGCACACTCAAAGGAGAATTAGTTTTAGAGTTTGCAGGTGGGCTAACTAGTATTGCGGCCTGAACCATTTGAGCAAGGTTTGTGGGGGGTTATAGTACATCCTGCCTACACAGGGTACGACCAGCCGAGCAGGACCCAACAAAAAAAACACCCCTCAATCTTCCCTTAGCACTGTGTTGCTACTGGACTCAAGTCTAGCTCCCCGAAACCCTAAACCCTAAACCTCATGGAACCTTCAACTTGAAGCCACGCTCCGCGCGTGTGCAGGCTCTAAGGCTTCGGCTTGCAAAAAGCGAAGCTACCTCTCAGTCGTATGGGTGGCCTCATTAGTTAGAACAGGGTTTGGTGCATTTTATACTGCTTCTGCAATGAGGAGCCCGGAGGACTAGTCTTCTGGCAGCTTCTCATCTTTTGCGTTTTGGGACAGTCGTAAGTTGTCTAGCAAGTAGAAATGTAGGAACATGCAGATCTGACTAGCGCAAAACTGAAGCAGAAACATTCCCTATGCTAAATTAAACCTTGCAGCAATCCGTCCAAGCCGGTGAGGGTTTTTGGGGCTTAGGGCTTGCTTCGCACATGTCTCTCCGGTCCTCTCGAAGTTTTCTGTAAGGAAGATGTCCTGGCAGATCGAGCTGCGAAGTCAGTGTGCGTGTGTGTGTGTGTGTCTGTGCGTTTGTTTGCTTCCGGGGCAACCCTAAACTGTGCTGGATTCCGGATATCTGGCCCTGCGTTGTCCCAACATTGCATTGCAGCAGATTCAGCTGGAAGCCTACTCTCGGTGTCGCTTTAGACAGATGTGTGCGGTGTTTGAGCTTTAGTGCAGGATGTAGTGCACAGATCTGAGTGTAGCAGGCCAGGCTGCCAGAACGGCCAGCCGACTGGCACGGTACTACGACGCTTTGAGTGTAGAGTGCAGAGCCTGCGTGACTCCGCTCAAATTCGAAACGAACAAATGAGAGATATTAGATATAGGAACCCCTAGCAACATTGCAATGAACTCCCCACCTCGACTGAACCGGCCTATGCTCCCTAAAGCTGCCAGTGCAGACCCTAAGTGCTTGAGAACAGTACTATGCCCGAACCACCCTAGGCCGTACATATGCTTCCCCAGCTCATGGACATGCTCTTTGGGCAACCTCAAAAACTGACGTGTGGCAGACAAGTTCCATTTATGCAGCACTATTGCTGCCCCAAACCCTAAACCATGAAGTCCAAAACCGGCTGCCCGATTCCCTCAACCCTAAACCCGTGAGATCTCAGCCAAAGCAGCCTGGCCCGTTGAATGCGGTACCTCAACCCTCCCCAAAACCGAACCGGATCCGACGGCTACCACGTGTTTCTTGAGCTGGAGTCCCAACTCCCAGGGACAAAATCAAAGCGTATGAGCTCCGGAACTGACGCTAATCAGAGTCGCCGGCTCTCAATCCAAATTACTCCAATCCCCGCTTTGAATTCTCCCGCAGCCTCCACGATCCCCTTGTAGTCCTGACCAGCAAGCGTCATCGACACGCACCATGACAGTCCCACAACCCTCAACCCTCGGCTACTCGCAAGCAGGCCAAAAGGCTCATCGACGAACCCAAATCATTTTGGCTACTGGCTTGCGAAAAAGACTTCTGCTAAGGGCGCTTCTCGCCTCTCTCGACGCGAACCTCGACCTAAACTTCTCGTTCCTTAGGGGTCTTTATAATTAGAACAGGGTTTGGGGGTCCAGTATAATGCACTTATACTCGGAGCCCTAAGGAAACATGACGGCAAATATTCAGTCCCATATCATTATCTGATGTGAGCGCTACTTGCGGCACTTCTTCGACAGGGAGGAGAAGCCCCCCTACTTGATTGCATCAATCTCAAAGCAAATGCGCCATCACATGCACACAGCATAAGACATCTCAAACCCGTTTATAGCCTTGGCTGTAGAGTTCGACTTGCGACCGATGAGGGTGCTGGGTTCAGGGCTTACGGTCGCAGCGACCCGAAACGTCGGATCCGGTCAGCGATTGCGTCTGGATTCTCAGCTACACTTGGGACAGCTCCGTTGGTCATACGTCTCGAAAAGACATACCGCAACCGACTCGAGATGCATGCAGCATCCAAAGGTCACTCTGCGCTCCCTACCCTTTTTGAAACCGGACTGAATGACTGCCAGCATTGCCTCTTCTGCCGTTCTTCAGCCGAGGCGCAACATTTCAGCACGAAAGCCTAAAATAGAAGGGCTTGAAGGCTTGTCTGTTAGCGCTTTATGGTTCAGGGTTTCAGGGTTGGGGGCTTCAAGGTCTAGGTTTTGGGGTGTTTTAGGTTTTAACACTCTTGGGCTGAGGAGTGAAGAGGTGCTTACAATTTTAAGTTTATAGGGCTTTGCATCATGAAGCTTCTGAGCTTTCGGGTGTTGGAGGCTTGCGCTGCGAACTCTGAGTTGCCGAATTAAGGCACTAGGACCCTGAACCAAGCAACCCTAGCTCCTCAACCCATACACTGGAAGCACATGCCCGTGGGATTTCGAGCCCCAGGTGCAGCCACATTCGTGGAGCTATGTAGCTCGACAGCCAACTCTTCAATACGTTTCAATCAGTCTCGTGCGGAACGAGACAGGTAGAGACCACTGAGTCCCATCCATGTGGCAACTTGCTCCAATGCCCGCCAAAGTGGGTGTACATCCGCAGTGCTGTTGGAAGTCGTTGGAGGCGGATCGAAGTCGACCCACCATCGGTCAGACAGTGCTCTATGCAAGAAAGTGACGGAAGAGAGCGATGAAAGCGCACGTGCAGAGCTCGAGGCTGCATTCATCGTGCTTGAGATCATCGACCTGGTGTCGTCGCGTAAGAGGCCGATATAGTCGGTGACCGGTCTTTCAAACTCCTCCAGGAAGGAGAGCACATAATCCAACACCTCTGTGGCTTCTCCACATTAGGGCTCCTTTTTGGGGGTCTTTATTCAGGATCCTTGCAGCTCGTGTCTCCGTTGAGGTCCCTTACACAGAAATTTGCGAAACTCCCGCCTCAGCATCTAGCGTGGCCTGCCTATGCATATGGATTGCCCAAAAAAGCCGCCCTTCGAGCTCCGCTTTGTAGAGCTGCCTGCGTAGAAAGACCTGGTCTTAAAAGAATGGGATTTTCGATGTCTTCTTATGCGAGGTCAAACCTCTAGGCCACAAATTTGAATGCATTTTTGCTCTCTCTCTCTCTCTCTCTATCTCTCTCTCTCTCTGTGCAGAATATATTTTGCTCAGATATTGGAAGCACATTCATGCTTTTGGGCATGAAAAACTTTACCACTACCAAAGGCTGAAACCAATTTCCCAACCCCCTGACCCGCCTGACCCTAAAGCCTCTCAGGAAAAGGCCCGGAGGCACAGTGTATCTGTTATAGTAGGCGGCAAGCGCATAGGATGCTGTGTTACTTTCCAGGGTTTTCCTTCATTCTCGGGTTGCTGCACTTTCACGAGCATTCATGCCTTGTGCGAGCATGCCCAAGACACTGGCATGTACAGCATTTCGCCACTCTATTATGCAACATAACGCAGAAGGATGTTCGACGTTCATATTTCTGGCATAAGATTGTCACAGGCGCTCATGTCTTGTACGGGCACGCCCAGAACACTGGTCACAGGTGTGTGCGGCTTTTTTCTGCTTCTTTGCACATAGTGCACAACCATATTGGTGATGGCGACGATGATGAAGAACATGATGGCCACTACAAACATGGCAGTTACTAGCTGAGTGATGCTGAGTGATATCTTGTCCAACTCACAGTGTCCGGCAGCCTTCTGAAAATCGTGCTGAAACCTCCGCTTCCTTTCTACACTGTTCAGAATGTAGAATAACATGGCACCCTATGCACCCCCACCCGTTTAGAAGCCCGAAAAGAGGCCGTGGAAGGAACCCTTCAATGAATTTTGTTTTAGTTCTTACAGCCCTTCTATTACAGCAGCCCTTATAGTAGTATTGTACACATCCTTAACAATCAAAGAACCATCTGCAACCTTTGTATCCTTTGGCAGCCCTATCAGCAAACAAGTTTTCTAAACAACTTCAAGCGTCGCCCGCCCTAGTAACAGTCACCACAAACAGGAGCACAACAAAAAGCACCAGCAAAACTGCAAAACATGGCTTGGTAGTGATCGCTACCTCCAGTTCGGATGCGGAATTAATACAGTAGCTCGGAACCCCTAACCCCCTACTTACAACCCTAAGCGCGAAACCCCAAGCCCTAAACCCTAGGCCCTCAGCCCTAAGCCCCAAACCCGAAACCCACCCTAAGCCCCAAACCCTAGGCCCGATCTCTGTGATAGCATTACTAGCTTTGGACTGGATATAGTACAGAATGCATCGCCCCCGGGCGGCTCAGCAAGGATCCAGGCATTGGCTAGTGACGACGAGTTTTACGCCCCCAGCCTGTTACTGCAACTTTTTGTTGAGGGGCGTTGCTGATCGACTTTGTTGGCAAGCACCCTGGGCACTTTAATCTAGCTTCAATCACTTGCGCTGCCTCAGCCAAACTTTTGCGTAATTTTGCAGGTGCTCTTGCTTGCGCTTTTCTTTGCAGCTTTATATCAAAACTTGTGCTTGTTGCTGGTGCTAAATTTTGTACTCATGATTTTGCATTTTCTGGTGCATGATTGTGCTTTCTCTGGTGCTAAATTTTGTGGTCATGGTTGTCATGCTTGGAGATCCAAGCGAAACTTTTTCCAAAGTAGCCCTTCAAGGCATGTACTGGGCGACGAAATTGTCCCCAAACGTATCTTTTCTCCCAAGTTATTGGTTCAAGACATGTAGGGGGCGACAAAATTGTCGCCGGACGAATCCTTTTTCCTAAGCCGCAGGCCCGAAACTCTAAACTCCGAGCCCTAAGCCCTGAGCCCCACATCCGGACACTCAA